TTGAAGATTCTAAGGGTAGATAAAGAAAAATTGATCTAATTATCGCAAACTCAGTGATCGATTATCAAGCACTGAAAACGCAGAGTAGAGGAAACTAATTTACATCCCCGGCCCCGTTCCCACATCTACACCATCCTGAATGGTCAAGGCTTTGTGGTCGCTGTATATTGGGTATGAAGAACTTTGCTGTATGTAGGATAAGACTTTAGGAGACTGGTAATAACCATGCACATATCACATTGGGCTAAATTTGAATTCATTCACAAACCCAACCCACTGCAATTTCCGCAATCTGCCTTATTCACACATACTGACCCAAAGAAAAGACGAATAATGACTCGAAAAGGTGCAATTGTACATTCAGAAGAAAATGAGCAGTAAACCGACGTGAGTGCTTACAATGTAGCTTGCTCAAGGTATTGAGTATTTCCTTTATTTAGCTGTCTGGTAAAATCATTTGATCATTTTAGCCTGACCAGCGTTTTGCACTGTTGACCTTCACTTATCATCCTGGACTTGAGTCGCTTTGAACAGGGGCGCATTTAACTATAAGGGAACGGTGAAAGGTTTGAAAATCATTGGTTGTTGTAATTTATTTGAATAGAGAAGCTAAATCCACCACTACATTGCATCTTGGGACCACTTTGCTGCACCTGTGACAAAAGACAGCATCGTTGATCAATAAATATTGGGAACAAATTTAGTTACCGAAAACCGAGAACTGAAAGAAAAACGAAATGACAAGCCATTCTCGTTGTTCGAGGACAACAATTTGGACTATCGCCTCAGCTTCTTGAGAACCCTAGTTTGATTTGTGCTTTATATAAGTCACTGCGTACGCTACGGGGCGCGGTTTTGCTTGCTGCCACGGAATCTTAGTATTTATTCAGTTGATATTGTCACTTTCAAAAGAATACTTCCTCATCCCGTTTGTTGTCTGTAGTTGGATATCGCTGGGAGTATATTGAAGTAACCGTACATAGTTTTTCTTTTCGAATGTGGTGTTTTCTAGATCCGATTACGTCAGTTATTTTGTTTTACATGTATTTCGTGCGTTCTGTGGAGCAATTTCCGAGGGATACCGATATTTATTTATTTATATTTATTACATTTATATTTATATTTATTTATCTATATTTATTTTTAAATGCACAGTGATTCTGGTCGATCCCTCTATGTGATGTGAAAGTCTGAGGTAATACACCACTGTACACAGTTTAGCAAATGATCTTGATTGTACCATGGATTCGGTGTTGAAGATGTTAAACGAACAAAAAACTTTGTGTTTAGTTTGGACAAATCGTAAATATGTACGTGATATTCTTTTTCCTGTTGGATGGCAGTCGTCAGTTGTTGAGTCACGAATAACTTCTGCTTCCATTACGATCTTCAGCTGGTAATTTAGGTCTTCGAAGTGAACAATGTTGCATTTCTATTGACCAAAATTTCCCAGTTCACGGGTGCAGGTGTGGTTCGATGGGTTGGTGCACATTGTGCATTGTGACTGTTTCTTTCTTTAGTATTCAAAAATCCGTTTACAAGAGGAAACTACCTGATCAACAGATGCCAAGGTAGATCGATACATATATATATATATCGATATATGTATATGTATGTAACATAAATATATCATACAATAAACACAAAAGTAATGTAGGCTGAAAACATGATGAAATAGATGGAGACAAGGGGTAAAGCTGGATTCATTTTGGTCAAATCTATAGACATCGCGGTTTAACGATCATATTCATCACGTCGGGTGAGTAGCTTACGTCGAAATTTTCAAAAGACATCCAACTACAACAGCTCAAAGCACCAGGTTGCTCTCAACTCTTTTTTTCTGAGTTCAAAATCAGAGCAGACCGTGAATTTTATGTAAACTTTTGTTAAATTACCATTACAAAAATCTTCCCACTCTGTCCGATCTAATGGGACACATGTTTTTTCATCTGTTATCCAGTATAATTAGTGGCGCTCTTTCATTGGTTAACTCTTTCCGTCAGCGCACCAATCAAATTCCCACAGGCATCCATACAACAAATCGCTCGCAACCGTCAAATGATCCATGGGTCTTTTATTCACAAAACCACCGTAGAAACTGTTTCAAGTAGTGTTGTTTGAGTGTCACTCCGTGAATCACACGCAGATCAAGCAAAAAGCTCACGTAACCATGACCACCTCAGTTCGCGTATTGGCATTCTCCGGCACCTATCACAGTGGTCGTTTGTCCGAAACCGTGGAAATCGTCACGATGGATGTAGTGCTGTCTTTCGGGGTGCTTTTCAACCTGTACACCACATTTGCTCTCACACGAACCCCAATCAATTCCCTCCTGTCCAAACTGCTATTGTATAATCAGAACGCGCTGGATGGGTCCTATTGTTTTGTGATCATAGTGGTAATCTGTTCACACAATTTCACTCTGTTCTCACCACCAGGCAATCCCATCCCTTTTGTCTGTTACATACTTCAGAGTGGTTTCTTGAACGTGTTTTGTCGTACCATGGTCGTTTGTAACATTGTTTGCCAGTGTGCTGATCGCTTCTGGGCGGTGATCTATCCGAGATCGTATCGGATTCATACAAAGCGTTATATTATTGTGTGCTATCTGGGCATTCCTTTGTACTCCGCTTGTGCTTCCCTGTCCCGAGCGTTCCTAACAGTCATTGTCGATGGCCACTGTGATCATCATACCTCATCAATTACTGAGCGTGTGGTTACCACATTTGACACGGTGTTCCGTTATGGGATCCCGGTCATTCTAATGATCTCACTCAACATTACGGTGATGAGGAAATTACGTCGAACTAGATTGCCAAGCGATGCCCCACCGGTGGCCAGTATCCAGTCCACAACGGATCTGACCACGGACAAGGATCAGCACGAGAAATCGTCGGCAAACAAGGTGCTGGCCGCGCAAAAGGCCATATTGATCAATACTGTGGTTCTGATGAGTGAATTGAGCATTCTACAAGTTGTCGGGATCACGATGAATGTGTTGGACGCACTTGATGTGATTGATTTCAGTGTGGACTCGCGCGCTCGTCTGTATTTCATGTTTCTTCTATCCACCTTCTCTGCGATCAATCCTTTTCTAACCATTTTGTCAATGAAATCCCTGCGATTGACCATCATTCATCAATGGAGGGAAATCATCACGGTTACCCGCAGCATGATAATGGGATGCTATAAAAGGTGCCCGACCATCTAGTCAGGTCGTTTATTTTTAATGGTATATGACATATCAGACTGCATATATCGCTCTTTGAGAGAAGAAAGGTTTTTCCTAAAATAGATATAATAACTTTTGGCTGGTCACGGAATTTTCTTGACTTTGGCTAAAAGCGGAGGCAATAGACTCGAGTTTCGGTTCTGATAAAGCTCATCAGTAATGCATATCCACCGCCTGGTCCGGGATTCGAACCCCGGGCTCGCAGCATGGAGGGTGCATGTAATACCGCTGTACCAACCGTCCCATGCCAGGGCTGAACCGAAGTGCCAATACATCCTTGGACAAATGTATTCTTCAGAGATAGTCAGTCAGTTCAATTTGGCCTGACAGCAACAAAAGGAGACAGTTCACTACCTGTTAACTCCAGTCGAATGTACGATAGTATGATTCCTTGAAATAGGTCACAACCTTGACACCATACGGTGTCAAATTTATTCTCAAGTGAGGTAAAATGTGAATGCATTTAGTAGGATAAACGGATTTGCATCAAATCAGGTTTCGCCTAGCATTGCTTTCACCTTTATTCAAGCAAGGATTCATTATTCCACATAATTCTTTCAGCTTTCCAGAAGACTAAATCACAAAATTACATCAAATGAAACTTCCGAACGTGCTAACTGTCCCCAGGCGTTTTAGAGTTCGAAACTGTCTGCACTTTATTGTATGTTATGGATCTTCTATGGATTATGAACGTGAAGCCTCGAAACGTTTGATGAAACGCAACACGGAGTAATCTGTTGAAGATACGGCGTGCAGCGAATCATTTGACATACAGGTTGGTAAACTGCGGTACAGCACAGAGAAGTACCCAAGGGTGATGATCGAAGAAGTTTGAAGTAGATGAACATAATTTAGGAAAACTTTCCATGCGCTCATGTGAACCTTAGAATGAATAATCTACTGATTTCGTATTTCGGCCAATGAAAAAAGAATGATTACACTTAAACAATCCCAAAAATAAATGAGTGACACTTATTTGAGGTAAAATTGAATTGTCCTTATTCGAGAGAGCTCAGATGTTAACTTTATACTGAGGGAACAGATGATAATCAGATGTTAACACAATAGAGTATTTTGTGTTAAAGGTAAACTGATGCACTTGCTTGGCATCTGGACTTGTGTTGATTCCTATCATATAAACGGCTCTATTCAAAAACGACGACGAATGGCGTAGTTCATAAACAGGCGGGANGGCGGGATCACCATCTAAGATTGACACGTCACATCATCTCGCTCGATAATATGGCCGTTTGGGTTTCCGGGTTGTTGGACTTGGAAGTAAAGTTGAAGCTTGTGGTGATCAACTTTTGCTTAATGTTTTTTTCCTTAGGTGTGCAATGTAATTCAGCCAGTAATGCTGTGTTACAAATCTGTGTTAAATCTGCACGACTATCTAGGCCAACTTTGAGTGACTCGCAACCTCAGAAGCCAAGTCCAAATGTTCCGCAGATTTATCCGACACCAGACAACAGCGAATCATAATGCAGTTCTGTTAAATCGAAGCGTTACAACTGCATAAACAGCACACATCAAATTGTGTCGTTCCCAAGGGATATGCCTGAACCAGCGAAATGGGCAATGTCAATCAAGAGCCAAAAGTGCAAACGAGCAGGCGAACAAGCGATTTGTGAAATAATTTCAGAGCACAGTGAGACACATGGATGGGAATGAGAACCAATTCGAGTGGGATTAAGCACCTCAGTATGACGGAGGGCAGGGTGAATCAGACCATATCAGGGNATATCAGGGTCAGGGACAATAGTTACGATGGGGTGCGGGGAAAAGCGAGTTTGTTCGGCAAGCATAATAAGATCTGTCGAATAAAATTATAATGTTACGTGTGGCAGGAATAAAGTTCCTTCTGTAGACATGGCTAAGAGAGACGCTAACCCAAACAAAAACTGACAGTGTGTATTTGAATGGAAGTTTGATACTGCATTTGATGTTGTCGTGCGACCAACTTCACCGATATTTCTATTATTATCATAATTAATATTTTTAGTAATAATCACATTCACCATATACTTCTGGCCAACACTCCCGGGAGCTGGACCGTACAATATTGAAACGCGCCTTTCGTGTGATTTCCGAGTCCCTGACTATGCAGTGGATAATATTTTGCTGGTAGCCTCCAGCTTCAAGTCCAGTGATTCCCGGGTGTTTGGTTGACTGTATGAAGGGAAGATTATACTTCTTGTTCAAATTGGCAAAAAAATTTGAAATTAGAAGTAAAGAGGGGCAATAAACGGACTACCAAAGTTTTAGGAATTCCCAGAGGCTTGATTCATCGATCTCAATTTTTAATTGTTTTGATTTATGGGATAGATTTGACAACATATCTGAATTTGCCGCACGTTGATTGCACCAATCGTGCGTCACGGAACACATTAAAAATTCCCGCTTAAATACCTGCTGGGCAAAACGGTTGTCGATCTGGTTACCGTCGATCTACTAGGATTTGCTCCAGGAGTTCATTGCTTGGTTTGTCGTGACGCAGTCGAACGATCAACACAATGGACTGAGAGACTTCGTGGTTTGTCTGAAATCGATCGACCATGATTTTCAGTGCAGTCTATTTCAGCGGCTCTTAGCGATCATTTGACCTAAGCATCTTCTGCTGAGATCACGTGAATTGATTCTTAGTGTGAACTTCTAGATCAACAAAAGCTACCCTCAAATTAACATTTTTCTTCAGCGAAGCGGTTTGAGCAGAGTTGACAATCATACGAGCTATAGTGGACAGAGAAATGATTATCTTTAACAGGAGAAAAAATGTTCACGTTTTTCACAATGTCAGTATGAGGGTCTCCAGTAACAATGCAAAGCCGTTCTACAAAAAAAAACATCGAGTCATGTGTCCACTAACTGCTTCCATGTGATGATGATCCCGGTGGTAATGTCACCAGCTTGTCACCCAGAAGTACGTGTGTTCAAACCCATCACTTCCATCTGAAACTTTCCTGATCCTGTGGTGACATTGTATTGTATGGCAGTCTTTCAAATAGACACTTCACGGTTCCTGAAAATAGCATCATAAAAGGAGATGAAAATGAAAAAGAAATAAAAGCATTTTCGGTATCGGAGAATTTCACGGAATGCACATTGAATCCACAGGATAGGAATATTAAAAAAAAATTCTCGGTGCGGTTTGGTTCATCAAGGATACAACCAGGAGTACGGGGAAATTAATCTGAAATGGAAAGAATCATCTAAACCACGGTTATTTTGGTACAAGCACTGAACAAATGGTATGGGGGGATGGGATGAGTTGGCGATACGCAGGTGACCCAAAACAGATTGCCGCGTTGATTATATTTTGTAGTGATTCTTCGTTGCTATAGTTAGTTAACATACCCATACCCGAATATTAAATAAATGAAAACTAGAGATCATTAGAGTAGTTCGCTATGACTGGAACGGAATGATTACTTTAAAAGCTCAAATATTTCTCCATTAGCTAAGACCTTACTCGATTATTAGCCATCATTCCGGCACTCAGCATTATCCGTGAAGTTCCATCTTACAGGCACAAAACGACATTCAAGTACTACACGCCAGCGAAGTTCAGTGAGACAAACATTTTGAGCATAAAGGAAATTAGAAACTGGAGCAACTGGTCCCTGTGAAACACTTGTTGGTTCGCATTGGCAACAGAATTTATACTGAAGAAATTGTTTTTTCCTAATGATAATAAACACGCCTTGATGAGTCTTTATTGCAGTGATTTTCCTGATTCGTTTATACTCAGAAAATGGAATGGCTCAGAATGTGGTGGATACTCTCATTTTGTCAGCAGTGGTTGAGAATAAAACAATTTTTATTTACAACAAATTGACATTGATAAAAATTAAGATGTAAAGTTTGTGTACACCAATAGTTAATTGGTCTTATGTAATGCAGTTTTTCCGGGTTGTGAGAGAATTTCATTTGGTCATTTAATAGAGTTGCTATAAGGGATTATATATTAGATAAAATAATGCCTCATAATAAATAACCGAGATGACAAGGGTTTATGAAAATAATTCGGGATAGTTCTGGAGTCACTCTTATTAGGATATATTACCTTTTTCATACTTGATAACGTTTGCAATTTTCATGTGCAGATTATTTATTCTTGACAATCAAGATCAGGCACCTTTAATTGACAATTATGCAGCCTAGAAAATACTTAGATCGAAGTAACCCGCAGACAAGTTATTGTTCATAAATAAAGCATCAATAAGGATCATAAATATAACGAAACTCAATTTGATCATAAAGAAAATTTTTAGCGCATCACAATCAGCCAGTACTGTAATTTACCCTCCCCTCAACGTTGCTCATAAAAATCATATATCCAAGGAATTCATAAAAATGACCTTACAAAACTGTAAATGAGTACGTAAAGCCTTGTTTTTTACGCCTCGTAATTTTGCTCCGATCCACATTATATTTTTGAATTTGATCACAGATGACATAACAACCCACCATTAGCATGTAGAGAGCAAACAGACCACCGACTAATGTGAGCAGTACAGCAGCACAACAATATGATAGTCATTTCAGCGCTTGCTATAATGAAGCACCAAATCAGCTCTAATATGCAGTCTATTTGGTGCGGAAGTTTCTCTGTAGTCTTGGAAATAGAAATTTGAATCGAATAGCGCGAACTCGGATTCAGACTGAAAACTCACCGAGTACCGCAAAGTTAGATAGTACCAAGATTAACTGTGAATTCGAAAAATCATGCAAATAAATATAATAAGCATCCAGCTCTCATTGGTCGATTCTTCAGTGTCCAATCGACAGAAGGATGGCTCATTTGTTTGATTTCTTGCACTCAGCCAGTCCGATTGGTAGGGAAATCTGTTTCTTGATTGGTTATCTGGATGTTGTACCGTGGTGCGTGCGTATTCGTTCCACGATCACCTCAATTTCAAACTGTTTGGTTGTTAAATTTCACCTAGTTATCGGATGAGTTTGATCATTTATCTAACTGA